AGGCTATGCCTTAGTAACTCGTGGGGCTTCTACCTCCCCCATCGGGCAGTGAGGATAATACCTAGAAGACATATTCTGGGAGTTGTTCCATGCAAGATTCCTGTACAGGGCTGCACTGTTTACATTGACTACAAATCTGTATGCACAAGAGAGCTCAGCATGGGAACAAAACCCTATCTCTGAAGTCTTTCTGTGAAACAAATTGAACATAGTTTTCCCCATAACAACAGAGGAAAACAGAAATAATTTTGAAGGGTAGAGTGTCTCTCAAAAAAATTGCAGGGAATTTCTGCTTTCTAATACGGCAGACTGTGTTAAACAAGTCTCTTAAATGAACAGACTTCCCAAAAATACATGCTCAGTATAGGTGAGGCCCATCAAGTCCGGCTAATTGATCCCCCTACGAGCTACAGAAAAGGCAGTATGGAGACTCAACCTACACAAGAAATTTAGCAGTCAAAAAAAGTTACATTGCAATGTGAGAGCCATGTTTTATAAACTACTCATTTATTGAATACAGCTGTATTCACTGTTGGTCCACAAAATACTACGGGCCAAATGAAATACTATATTTTACAGATCAGATCAATCAGATATGGTGAAAAGAGGATGGGAAGGGGGAAAAGAAGCAGGAAGGTTCTGCAAAAGAAAGCAAAACAACCCTCTACTTGAAGAAAGTACGAGAAACAAGTCTGCAAAAGCAGCGGATCAAGACTTTCAACTAAGAGGACTATGGAGGAACAGATTTTATCTCCAGGCACAGGTTAGGCTTGTATAAATCCTAAGCCTTGTTTTAAACAAACTGACCCCAAATTACCCATGACGTTTAGAAGAATTTTGTACTAGAAGAGAACCTTGGTGGTAATCTTGTGTTAAGCAAGACAAAGCGTTTGGAAGAGAGAGCTTTTCAGTGAACAGGATGATTTCACTTTGAAAACCTTCCTAATTGTTGATTCATCAGATCTCCAAAGCAGCCCAGGCTGGAAATCCTAAACTAGCTTCAGTTGAACTTGGCATGGACCATTAACTAGTTTGTTGGCAAAATTATTTAAATAAAGGTTCTGTGTCTATCTTTCCTTTTTCCAAAGGAACTAAATTGTGTTAAGTAAAAACATAGCCTGTACCCCCCAGAGAGTATAAACTAAACTGAACTTAGAAATGAATTTGCAAGAATGAAGACACGCTGTTGTAAGAACACTTTTCCTTAACAACCACAGACCCAGCATGAGGGCAGAGAACAGCTACATAGCAGCTGAGAACCCAACTGCTCTGGACCCAGAAGCAACAGAGCATCAGCAACATGCCAAATCCAACTTGACAAGCTCTGCTGGGCAGCAAAGTCCTCTTCCACACCTGCACGAGTGTCTCTACATGGTGTTATGTTATGGGATCTCAAGAACAGTAAAAAAGGATTAACAGATACCCACCTCAAATGTACAGATATAAATGTGTGCAGCCTGGGGAACAAGCAGGAGGAACTGGAGCTCCTCATGCCATTACTACATTACTGTTGGAATAACAGATAACAGTGGGAGAGCTCACATGTGGTGGGAGCACTGTGATAGATGGATACAAGCTCCTCAGGAAAGACAGGGAAGGAAGGAGGGAAAGACTGGGGGCGGGGGCCTTCACATGAAGGAGCAGCTTGAACATTTGTGATGGGTGGCAGTCTGATTGAGAGTGTGGGTCAGGATCAGAAAAGAAACCAGTCAGAGTGACAAGGATGTGGCAGTGTATTACCGACCAGCCCATCAGGGTGATGAGGACTCTCAAGCACTGGAACAAGTTGTCCAGAGAGGCTGTGCAGTCTCCGTCCTTGGCGATTTTCAAGGCCTGACTAGCTAAAGCCCTGAGGAACCTGGTCTAATCTCACAGCTGATCTTGCTTGAACAGAAGGCTTGAGTAGGTTCAGGTCTCCCCCAACCTGAATTATATTGTGATCTGAAATCCAAAGGAGAGAATCCCAGGCAGGAACAATAGTTTTGAAATTGAGGCAGAGGAATACATCTGCTACCAGCCAAGACGTCTCAATTTCATGACTGTGTCTTACCCCTAAGTATCACACACAGGTGTTCACCCAGCAGCTAACTGGACACCAAGGCTAGAGTTTCCCAGGAAGCTACAGAGGAATGATGGAGTAGTGGCAGTTGCAGCAGAACCCATTCCTGCAACACTTGCAAGCATACAACAGCTAGAAAAAAAAAAAATAATCCCTGGCAACAAATGTTAATTTGAAGTTAATGTCCCAAAGAGCATTTTCTCAAGGCATTGAACTTTTAAGTGTTTGCAGTTTCCCTAACCAGTTAAGAGACAGGGAATGTGAGACTGCACTGAAAAGTATTCCCAGTGAGGGGAAGGGGCAGGGGGGCAAAAATGTGTTTAATTCACTGATATTCCTTACGTGTCCTCCCCAGCAATCCTACTTTACTATATAGCATAGCAGCGACAAGTTTGAAAATTAACTTAAAACTTACTGCCTCACTCTTGCCAAAACGTTGTTTACATATTTTTGGATGAGATGAACAAGGTCTCAAGTCCAGACTGTCACCATAGTCCTTTCTTGACAAATATCCAACCCTTGTTTTTACTGACAGAACCATGTTGATTGTTTCTAACCATCTTCAATGTGATAAGGCTGCTGCCCTCAAGAAATTACAATCACACCATCTCTCTTGATTTGCTAAATACGCCCCCTCAAATCTTGGTCCTCCTCTTCTGTCTGGTTCTCATCCCACAGGTGGCTTCAGTTCCACCAGTGTCACATAGCTCTTCTCCCAGACACAGCTCATGCCCTAGGGAAGCTCACGGTCGACCCTCTATCCCCAGCAAGCAGCCTCCTCTATAAAAGGAGTTGGGCTTATTTATATCATCACTGATAGCTGCTCCTCAAAGTCTCTAGGCTTCTCTCAGCAGCTGGTCTCCAGCTCCCTGGCCTTGCAGACATCTGAAACAATCACCTGTGCATTTCCATTGCTACAACACTGCTTTTGGCTTCTTTCTTTTCTTTTCAGAAATTGGCCTGCAGCCATGACAAGGGTTCAGAACTATTCCCAAAAGGGACGGGCAGTCTAAACAGAAAAGTGATGCTGAAAGCCGCTGCATGTACAGTAAATGTGTTCTGCCCTGCCTTTTAAGGAATACTAACCCGCTTGAATGCCTATACACATTTACAAACAAAGCATGTGCTTCAGCGTGGCTCAACCGTATAACCAAATTAGAAAGTTTATTGATATTTGACTAGAAGTGTCCCATGTCTATGTGTCAAAATTCTTATAAAATCTTTCCTATGTCAGAGTGAACCACTGTGAATATAATGCCACAGTTCTGCTATATGCTTCTGTCCCTGATAAGCCATTTTCTTATTATTGCACTGCAGTATTACCCATTTTTGTTTAGCTGGGAAAAAGAAAAATCACAAGTACTCAAGTAGCGCCCAAATCTTCAAAAAGCTTCAAAGTCTACTGCTGGAGAAACAGCAGAAAATGTACCTCTAGGTTCCGTAAAGATTAAGGTAGCAACAGACTCCTTACAGCATCAGTGCCAAGCTTGCTATCAAAGGCTTCGGGTTAGCACCAGTAACGAGGTACAATAAACTTCATACCAGCCTCCAAGAAGAAGTTCATACACTAGCACCAGGATTTAGGTATAAAACTAAGTTTGAAATTCAAACTCAATCTTGAAGAAATTAATAGGAGAATTAATTCCTGTGACCAAGATAATGACTATGTGAGTCATTATTTGAGAAAACATTTATGAATCAGAAATGGACACGTATGAACAATATTTTAAATTCCAAATAAACTAACATGGAATTGATCTGTAAGAGGGTCTTCCTGCCACTCAAGGTCTAACCCTTCAGTCTGCCAATGGCTGGAAAATACTTTTCCTTGCCCAGTTTTTACAAGTGCTTTGGAAACATGCATTACTGCCCACAGTATTTCCAACAAGTAATACCTCAGAGAAAAGAGAAAACACACTTTTTAACTCTTCAGACTACACCAGTAGTAAGAAAGTCTACACAAAATCATACACCACTGAAACGTTAAAGAATCTAAACCCACTGAAAATGAAACAGTAATCATCAACATCAATGTTGCACGACGATCTCTGAGTTACAGTAATTTTTTGTACGGCATTTCTGTTAAGAATAAAGACAACAGTCTGGAGAGTTGTTATAACCATTGCCATCTAGTTTTAATGCATGTGTGGCTCTCCAACTGGACAGGTAGAATGCTTACAAATCTACCTGGAAAATCTATCTGATGTTTGCCTGCTCTCCATTTCCCTTTCTGACTTCCTTCCTTCCCTCCCCTATCTCACTTCCTCTGAGAACACTCTCTTTTGTGGCAGACAGACAGAGAACACTTTAAGTCAATGAAAAGCATTGGCTCTCACTGGCGCAACTGGTCTGGAGGGAGGACCGCCACTGTTCTGCTGAATATCTGAAAAACAGGACAAGAATGGGAACAAGACTCCAGCATGATATATGATTCCCTATGGATCTCTGCAAGGGACAACAGATCCCTCTGCAAGGGACAGCGAGAGGAAGGCTTTGGTGTTGTCTAGTAGGCAGCAACTCTGAGGAGAGTGATGAGGCAAGAAGGGCATGCAAAAGCCCCTGCCTGAACCTGAAATACAGGTTTAAAGTGAAGTTGAAGGCAAAATGAGAAACTTGAGTGTATATACAACTCTGGGTGGGAACCAGTCCTATGGGTACAGAAAACAAAAGAGTTGACTGAAGAAATTTGAGATCAGGTGGTAAACACAACAGCAAAACCATTTTTCCAACACAAAACAGTTGCACTACCATTGGAGAGCAATGCTTTATAAAACTGCAAACCTTACTATCCAATTCCATTCTCTTTATTTTGTCTTGGCACTATCTACATGAATGGAAAACAACTGCAAAAATAGACACATGCACTTTGGTTTTCCTGGCTTCCAGAACACGACTGGAATGGAAGCAACAGTTCAAATATTCATCTTCTTATAAAGTGTGGTTTCACTGAAAGGTGGTTGTTTCTTGAGCTTTTACTTAGCATATTATTTGTATGTTTACCAACAGAATTTCCAAAGGCTTTTTCCCATGCTGCTCCTGTTAGTCATCGCCTTTTTTTTTTTTTAAAGAGTACCCAACTGAAGGCTGCATCCAAAACGTATCTGTAAAACTTGCATTTGAATACTCTTCATTCATAAAACTGATGGAAAATTGAAGAGTAAGGAGGAGAAAAATGTACAGAAAGCAAGCAGACATGTACAGAAAGCATCACAATGGAAAGCAGAGGTCATTTGACTCTCCATTTCACCATAATAGAAATATTAAAAGTAATGTTCTTCGGACTGTGTGTCACATTCAATTCCTAAACCAGAGTATCAGCTACTGTGTTTCTGTGCTGAAAGTCACTTTCCCACTGCTTTTTGTAGACTGTTTGCATTACTTAACTTTAAAGAGTCCAAGAGGGTTCTGATTGTTTCACTTCCTATTCCTTTCATTCTATTCTTCATCTTGCTGGGATTAGTTTTTCCAAATGGTATCAGTAGGGCTGCCAGTCCCCAAGGCTCTTTATTGATCATTTGCTGAGTTTTCCCTTCCTTCTGTAAAATCCAGGCACTTTCTCTGGCCATAGCTACAAATTTCTCCAGCTGTGGCTGATTAACATTCTTGCTGATATTAAGGTCTTGTTCAAAGGGATTCCAGATATAAAGAGGAGACGACTCAGGTTTATTTACTTCCTTTCCCTGCAGACAGTGTAAAGAAAAAGCCAAAGACGCATATATGCATTATAGGCTGAGCAAATAACAAATCACTTGAGTTATTACACTAGCATTAAAAGTATTTTGACCTAGTAGGGAACTTTTTGGAAAAAAAAAAGTCACTATTAATCAAGTTAATTTTCCTGTTAACTTTACTGTATGACTCCTGTTCTCCAAATCCTCTTAGCGGTGGTTTTCCTTGCCACATTCAGCTTAGATTTCCTTCAAGTCAAAGAACACACAACCAGAGCTTCGCCTGTGTTTTTGGCCATTCTCCCATTTGCTTTTCTACAAGTCTCAGACCTCCCTCATTGCAACCTCCTAGTCCTATCTCCACTTGTGTATGGGCAACGTGAGTGTGTCATATTAACCTGCATAGCCCGGTCTGATAAACTACTACAAGCACTTAAACTGTTAAAACCATTCCTCTCACAGTGCTCATTAAGAGCTAGTATAACAAAACAAGATTACTCACTTGGCTGAAATTCCTCCCAGTTCAGTCTGTCTTTTAAATACAGAACTTTTCAGGTCATGGTCCACTTCTGGGCACTCGGTATAGTACAATGCAAGTTGTTGACAACTATGAAGTTTGCTATTTAAATGCACTTCCATCTCAGTGCTTATCAGTGCTCCTTAGATGACCTGCTCTGTATTACAGAACCCCTGCAAGCCTTCCACAGCAAGCTCTAGCGGGAACCTACCAGCTAATGCTAGTCCAGGAAGCATCCACATACATGA